TTCCCAAAGCTCTGCTCTGTTTTCCCCCAGCACTTGCCTGGCATGTAATGCCAGGACACCTGCTTTTCAGTAATACAAAATACTATTTTCCTATTTCCCTTCCAAGTAGTAGTGTTTGGCTGTATAGCCTTTGAGTGCCTCTGTAAAAGCCATGGGGATAACCACATATAAAACATTAAGTATCAGTACTCTGAAAGGTGCTTTAATTATTCAGGAAATAGAATTCCAAGCAGTTGCTATACTTGAGGATGTTTCTTATCTCACATGAAATACATGATTGCTACCATGATTTTGCCATGAGGTTTTCCATGCCCTACCATGACAAAGTATGTAGTAAAAATTAAAAACAAAATAAAATGTTGGAACATCACGGAAAGGTAGATACATTTTGTTTGCAAGTAGTATACTGTTGCTTACATACAAATATTAAATAATATTAAACCCTATAGAGTCATTCCATGCAGTGATTCAGACATCTACTTGGACATTAGGCATCCTTCTCCAATTCCAAAATAGAATCATGGAATCATAGAATCATTTGGGTTGGAAAAGACCTATAAGATCATTTAGTCCAACCATAAACCTAACACTGCCAAGTCCACCACTAAATCATGTCCCTAAGCACCACATCTGCACATCTTTTAAATACCTCCAGGGACGGTGACTCAATCACTTCCTTAGGCAGCCTGGTCCAATGTTTAAGAAACCTTTTGGTGAAGGATTTTTTCCTAATATCCAATCCAAACCTTCCCTGGTGCAACTTCTATATCTGGAAATGACACCTCTGAGCATGCAAACGAAAGAAAAGTACCTGAAAGCATATGTCCCATTAAATACAGCTGACAAAGAACTAGAGTTACCCTCTTAGATGTTCTACCTGCTAGTTCACCTTGCCATTCTGCCATATCTTATTAGACTGCAATAAAAGAAAATTGCTGAAATATGATAGATGAGAGATGAAGTAGGAAACAGAAGAGTCTACCTTCACAAACTGGAACTTTCCCAGTCCACGTGCCATCAGACCTACAGGCTCTATGTTCTGATCCTCCGGCCAGGAAGAAGCCTGGCTGACAAGTGTAAATCAAGGTATAACCAAGTGAGGGAAGATCCATTCCTGCAACATTAGCATGGGCTGGTGTTTCTGGTTGTTTACAGTTGTGAGCTACAAAGATAAAATATTCTTCAGTCACAATGGTGACAATATTTCTGAATAAATAACCTTTACCCATTTTTATAGGTAACTAGTGAAGAAAAAAAAAAAATCAATAAACATAACATATGAATGTATTTTTAATTAACATTAAAAATCATTACATAGTCTATAAATTACTGTCCTGAGCCTGTAAATACAGTTTTTAAAATTAAACTTTCAATTTCAAGGAACTGAGAACCAGCTTAAATGCACTTGCACAACCAAAATTAATTGTGTGCATATGTGAACGCAAATGGCACACATCTTGCCACAGTTAAAAGAAATCATGGCTTGTGACTCGCATGGCTTATGATATCTGTGTAGCATTGAAAAATAGTAAATAAATGGGTCACTTGGAAAACTATGAAAGGTCAAGGAGAAATTGTAGGTCAGGCAAGTTTTATATATCAGGCAGAAAAATTAATTACCATTCCTAATCTCATGCAAAGTGTCTTCTATCTTTAATAACCATCAGAATCTGAGAGTCTTGGGTTATCTCAAAACCAGCATACTTCCAAGAGCAGAGCTCACCTTTCAAAACACTGAACTACTGGTTTGCTGTTTGCTTATGTGCAATGCTAGCACCAACTGAAACACTAATACCGTTTGTTTCTGTGGATATGCTCTCCATATACTGAAGTGATTCTATAAGGTCAGACCTTATAAGGTGAGACTATTTCCAGAAAAATATAGCTGGATATCTGAAAAACTAGAAAGATTAGCCTTGATGTTATACCTTCAATAAATCAGTACTATTTACCAAAATGTAAAAGATCTAAGAAATGAAGTGCTACTTTCTGTACCCCAGTAAGATGATTCTCTTGATTTCAAATTTAAAAAAATTTCCAGTTACAAACGCTTTCCCCCTTCTTAAAATACTCTGGCTCCTTAGCTGGGAAACAGTCCCAAGTCTACTAGACTGATTGCAGCTATCTATCTGCTCCAGTACAAGTTAGGGTTTCTGCAGGGCTATCCTACATGTCCTATCCTCATCATCTCCTCCCACCTCTTTCACTCTCTTCAGTGGAAGACTTGCACCCTCTTAGATAGAAACTTACTATTTTCAGCATCTCTCTGAATGCAGAGCTGTTTGTTATTCTCATTATTCTGTGGGGTTTTGGGGGGTTTTTTATTTTTTTTTTTTTTTATTCTACAGGCTACTGTAGCAAAATTCACTCACAAAATCACATTCCTAGCTGCTGTAAGGTAGTAACTGTATTAAGTTAAAAAAATAAATAAATTAATTTTGTAACTATGTTACTGTAATTTAAAAAGCCTAGACAAAAAAAAAAAAATTAAAAAAATTGATAGATCAGAAGTCTATCATTTACTTACGTATACATTCTGGCTGGATTCCACTCCATGTAAGATCAGGAAGGCAAGTTCGTGTTGTTGAGCCATGGAGAAGGTGTCCTTTTTTACACTGAAACTGAACAACATTTCCCACCTGTTGAAGAGTAGAAAACACAGTAATATAAGGAAATATCAACTGATTTTATGTTTGTTTGGTTTTGTTTTTTTTTTCTCCAAACTTGATAGCAAACTCCTTCACATAATACAGGCTCGAAAATTGTGATGCTCCTTCTGTAGAAAGTAAATTAATTTCACAGAGCATTTTGATATGAAATAAAAATCTGCTTCTTTCTCATTAAAATTACTCTCCCCCTAAAATGAAATCCTCCATGGAAGACAATTGAAACCTACATTTCTGTATTTTTTCTGGTGTGCTTCTTTGAGCCCAGAATACTTGAGGCACTGTGAGTTTGGAAGCCAGGCTTACTGTGGCTTCCTAGCTCTGGACTGAGGAGTACCCAGTTTGCTAATCTTGCAGCAAACCAGGGAAGTTGCAGAACTGAAATGGGTTAATAGGTTCTGCTAGACTTTTGCTGAACTAGACTCCTTTAGTGGAATGCCTGATGAATTCAAAAATTATAATGAAAAATATTTCATTAGAACACACAAGGCCTGGTCAACAACACTGTATCATGCTTCAGAAACTATAATGTCCCTATATTTTATTTTATTTTTTTAAAATAATCATTCTTTTTACTATGCAGATAATAAAAAACTGGAATGCAAGTACATTACAATTTACAACAGCAATTCATCTGAGATTAGATTTTAATTATTATTATTATGGACAGGAACCTTCTGGAGAGAGTTCAGCAGAGGGCCACAAAGATGATGAGGGGCCTGGAGCATCTCCCATATGAGGAAAGGCTGAGAGAGCTGGGACTCTTCAGCCTGGAGAAGAGAAGACTGAGAGGGGATCTTATCAATGTCTATAAATATCTGAAGTGCGGGGACCAAACGGATGGGGTCAGGCTCTTTTCGGTAGTGCCCAGTGCCAGGACAAGGGGCAATGGGCAAAAACTGCAACACCAAAAGTTCCATACAAACTTAAGGAAAAACGTCTTTCCTGTAAGTGTGATAGAGCATGGGAACAGGCTGCCCAGAGAGGTTGTGGAGTCTCCATCTCTAGAGATGTTCAAAAACTGCCTGGACACTTTCCTGTGCAACCTGTTGTAGGGAACCTGCTTTGGCAGGGGGGTTGGACTAGATGATCTCCTGAGGTCGCTTCCAACCCCTACTATTCTGTGACTCTCTGATTCTGTGATTATGGGTATGCGTTGCATAAAAAGGAAAATAGAATTCTTTAGTCATTTAACAGTTTCTGCACAAACATAATGTGGAATAACTTTGTTCAGCGTGTCTGAAAATTGATGAAAATGCAAATAATTCTCAGTTTCCATTAAAAGCAGGGAAATTAGATTACAACTATATCACTCAGAGAGTAGTTTATTACATGTTGTGAGTGGTTAACTCAAATATTAAGGTGTATAGATCACATCTACTCTTCTGCAGCGACCTGTATTAATGTATTTATCAACTCATGTTTAAACAAGAAGTTGAAAACTTTGAACAGTATGTGATAGCACACTTATGGTTCTGGGTTTTTTTTTTCCTCATTACTTCGTTTAAATGTATAATATTTAATTCAAATTGGTGCTGACTCTTCCACAATATTTAGTCCTGGGAAACAGCATTTTACTGCTATAAGTAGTCATTTGAAACTTTGTAGTTTTTATTCCATTTCAGCTCAAGCTTCTCATCAGAATGAAATTTAATAATAACTCGTGAACTACAGATAGTAGCTCATCAACACAGTATATGATTTAAAATTCTCCTTTTTTTTCCTCTATTGTGCTCACTGGACTATGAAATTACTTTTAAAATATTTTGAAGAAAATACACTAATTCACTTTCACGATTAAGCACAAAGTCGGAAAACACTAAAAGTTTTAGAAATTGCACCAAATAGAAATAGAAGTACTTTTTTGTGTGCTAAATACCTTAATTAAAACAACCACCACCATTATATTGCTTTACAACAAGTACTAGTCTTATGAAAGATTTGCTCATTTTGGTAATCTGACTCTGTTGAAGCAATCTCCATTCACAACT